AGGCACTGGGCCCCAGCTCCCAGAGTACACATCTCACTCCAGGGAGAGAGTCCACATTCCAGGAGCTGCACAACAGAACTCCTCAGCTCCACATGTTTATCACAGCCAAACTCCTCCTGTTGCACACTCGCCTCTTGGAAATAACAAAGCCCCTAAAGTTAAAACTAACTTGCTTCTGCTTCTGTAAAATCCCCACATGCTCACTACTCCCTCCCCACTATATGAAGTAGCAAATACCAGCCTTACACACACACCTTTGCTTGCTCTGTTATGCCCAAAGACCCAAACACTATATAAACTACAGGCTTTCCTATAAACGGGCTCAGTCTCTGGATAAGAATCCTCTGAGCCACATGTCTGCACAATAAATTTCTTCCATTGTTACAACCCACGTGGCGGTGGCAACCCCTTCAGAGTGACTCAGGTAACACCAGGACACTGGTGGCAGGAGCTAAGCTATACACTTTCTCTTATTTAATCTCAGATTCTACTCTACTTCGCCCTAGTCTCCCAAACTATTGGCAACCAGAATGAACTTTTTTAAAAATGCCATTCTGACCTCCTCTGTCCTCTGAGGTAGCATAGTACCAACTACAGAGCCAGAATGCTTGGATCTGAGTCCTGGCTTTGTCTGTGAGACCTTGGACAAGTCACTTGACTTCTCTGTGCCTCAATTTTGTTATCTGTAAAATGGGGTGGTTGAGATGGTTAAAATCCATCTATTTGTTAGAGTTTCTGTGTGCATAGTATGGGGAAAAATTATTATAATCCTGTTTATTGTACATTGTATTGTAATCTTTCTTTTTTTCTTTACTTCCTAAAGTAAAGACTTCATGATATTTTTCTTTCACTACTTCTCGAGGAAAGCAGAAACTTTACAATCTTTCTTTTTCCTTTCCTAAAATAGGAATATGAACCTTAGAAATCTGAACTAGTCAACCGGGTAAGGGAAAAGATTATGCGGTCAAAACCCTAGCCAGTGGGGTGAGACACAGCTGTAAGGCTTGTGTCAGGGATCAAAAACCCAAGTGGACTGTCCACTCGGTGTGCTCGCTGGCCTGTTCCTGTATGTACGGCTACGCACACGCACCCTCTTGCAGGAGTAAATTTTGCTTTACCAAGGTAATTTAGTCTCACCGAGTGTATTTGTGCAAGATCGGAATTCATTCTAACAATTTCGGGGCTCGAGCGAGATTTCCCAAGGAGCTCTGGTAGCGTAGTGGTTACAAACCGGGCTGTGGTTACAAACCACAAGGTCAGCAGTTCGAAACTACCAGCTGTTCCGCGGTAGAAAAATGAGGCTTTCTGCTCCCGTAAAGATTTATAGCCTCGGAAACCCTGCACAGGGTGGCTATGAGTCAGAACCAACTCCACGGCACATAACAACAACAACAACGAACGGGATTCCCATTCCCTTTAGGAAGCAGCTTTAGCTTTTCCTCTGAGGGAGATGTGTCCTGTTGCATAGTTGTGACAACTCTCGGGTGAGATCGGCTGAAGTCTCCCAAGGAAGCGAATAAAACCGGATTCTTGGCAAAGCAGGAAAAAGGCCTACTCGAGCATCACCACTTGGCAACCAAGTAACACTGTGCACAGGCCAAGGTAAACAAAATCCCTGGGGTGCCCAATGCTTTCTTGGTGGTTGAGACATCCCAGAAGTTGTATGTGTATGAATGAGATATGCTCTGGGCACGAAGGGAGTGTGGAGTCCTGATCCGTGATCTGTGACCACCTCATAAGGCTTAGGGCGGTATCAAGTCAAGGACTCAAACCGAGTTAGGGGTTTATACCAACACACCAATTGCTAAGAGGGGTCCAACATTCCCGTGAGAGAAGTGGCCGGAAACAGATGAAGCAAAAATAAAAGAGAGCAAGAAAGCTCCAGGTATAGAAGGGGGAGTTGAGCCTCTTTGTAAGAAGACACAACCAGGTAGCCGGGATGGGAAATAATACCAGTAAAAGAATATCTAGAGAAAATGAAACCAAGGACAAAATTCCCCCTGGTAGTCTGTTAGGATTAATGTGAGAGGATTAGAACAATAGTGCGCGTGCGCGAACTAAAGGTAAATAGAGATAACACGATAAGGTATTGCTGTTTTATTTGCACACAGGTACACATTTTAAAGCTATCTGTTTTTTGGCTTAAATTTGACTCAGACCAGAATTGGGTCTATCAATTTTTAATTAAATATGTCAGTAACAAAAATCCTATCCCTCAGGAGGAAGTAGATTATGCCCTACACTGGAGACAGGGTCCTGTTGTCCTATTTGCACTAAAGGGATAATAAAGTGAAGAAAGAAAAACTTTCTTCCCCTTGGCACCCCGTTTTCTCTCTACCCCCTGCCTTACAATCCTGCCTTTTCTCCTACATGCCCCAACTCACAACCCTGAACTCTCCTCTTTGAAAAGTCCCCTTAGGAAGAGGAGAACTTGGGATTCATCAGCGTATCCCTAACTGGTTCAGGGGACCAAAAGAAAAAAAGGGCAAATGAGAAAGTACGCCAGGTTAGACCCAAAATTTCCTTTGGCCAGGGAGTATTAAAGCTCCGTTTTGTCACTAACACTTGGCCTGATATCTGTAAAAGGACACACACAAAAAGAAAACTGGGAAAACAGGTTTATGGAAGAACTGTTAAAGGAAACTGAAAAGGTCTAATGTAAAACAGGATAAAGAAAAACAGAAAGCCCAAACTATGTTGTCTACCTTAGGACAAGGAGCTCTAGTGGTTATAAATCGGGCTACAAACCTCAAGGTCAGTAGTTCAAAACTACCAGCAGTTCTGTGGGAAAAAGATGAGGCTTTTTGCTCCTGTAATGGTTTACAGCCTTAGAAACCATATATAGGATCACTATGAGTCAGAACCGACTCCATAACACACCACCACCACTTTCAGGCAGACAACTCAAGAGCGGATAATTAACCAATGCCCCTCGGGATCCTGACCCCCACAGTCAGGACAAAACAGGAGGGGAGGGGAACCCAAAAAACTGCCAGATGAGAAAACAGATACTTCAAATGTGGAAAAGTAGGCCATTTTAAGAGGGAATGCCCAAAATGGAACAAAAAAGGGGGTGGGTGGGAGATGAGGTAGTCTGCAGAAGACAATACCTTATCCCCTTATCCCCAGGGAGAAATGGTTTACAGCCAATATGGTAGTTTTTCAAATAGAATTCTTAAGATAAATGTAGACATAGGCTGTTTGAGCTTACAATGCAAACTTCTGAGTGTACCCATACAAAGTGAAACTTCAATGTGTATCAGGCATTGAGAAATTGTTTTGTTCTGTTTCAATATCTTTGATATTTTTTTCTACAGTAAAATAGTATAAATTAATCCATTTAAAGGATAGTTAAGGATTTGTTTGGTTGGTGTGATAGCAGTTTTTAAAAATATTATACATTGTTCAAGACTTTGTATGTATTTTATTGTTGTATTAATGTTTCAGGTCTTCTGAGAACATAATACTGTTTTGAAAGATATTTTGTGTACCAGTACTCTAAATTGAAAACACATTTTTGTTGTTGTTGTTGTTAAAATGTGGGCCACCCTGTATGTATGCATTTCGTCTTTTTAAGAGGAGGTACACTATATTATGCTGTAGACATTAAAAGAACTCTTGGTCCAAACCCATCCCTTCAAATTCATCGTTCATCACTTCTGACCATGAGACTGATTAAGATCTGGAAGAACAGACTCCAGCTGAACTGTGAGGGCCCTTCCCAGGTACAGTTGACCATTGAGACAGGCAACCAGAGTGGACTAACTACTCAAATAAAGGAACTGGTAAAAAGGGACTCTCCCCAAGGGAAACGTAGTTACTAGTGGGAAACACATTCCTCACCTAGGGAACCTCTCAGAGTGACCCTGAAAAGAATCTGAGAGGCTGCCTTGCTATACTGCTGCCAAATTGTCACATTTTTTCCCTGGTCCCTCTCGCTTTCGGGGGTCTAAATAACTAGTCCCACCAAGTCGCCGCTTCTCAGACCTGGTAAAATGGGGGTGCACTGGGGCTTATAAAGGTATGGGTTCTCTTCCTCTAAGAATGGGCTAATACATATTGATTGTTGTTGTTGTTGTGAAGTGCCATTGAGTCGGTTCTGACCCATAGCGACCCTGTATAGGGTTTCCAGGGAGCAGCTGGTGAGCTTGAACTGCTGACCTTGCAGTTCAAAGGCTTTGCAGTCTGGCGCACATAAGCGCCACACCACATATTGATTAGGAGGAGTGATATGCTGAATATTCATCAACTTTTAGTAAAGGGACACAGACTTATTGAAAATGGCGTTCCTTCTCCAGTTGTCAGCTCTAGGCATTATCTTCGTGGTTCTTCTGCCTGTGGCCAGCTACTTCAATTAGGGTTTCAGGTCTTGCTAACCTTATCTTTGTCTCGAGGCTAGTCTTCTCAGTATTCTTGTTGGACTAGAAAAGTCTTACCCACTTCATTGATCCCTGTTTGTTGTTGTCGTTGTTATGTGCCGTGGAGTCGGTTCTGACCCATAGCGACCCTGTACAGGGTTTCTGAGGCTATAAATCTTTACGGGAGCAGAAAGCCTCATGTTTCTCCTGCGGAAAACCTGGTAGTTTCGAACTGCTGACCCTGACG